AAAGAATGCCAAAGAGCCTAAAATGCGTTGGATGAAACAAACTAGTATATCACTCCATAGAGTTCCTTTTGTTGTGGCGAGGCAGGCCCCTATTTTCCTCGTTTGCTCCAAACGACAGCGCTTACCCAACCAATTTACGTCTTTGATGATCAAGTGTGAGATTTCAGGGTTCCCCCTTTTCTCTCCACTTTTACCACTACGGCTGTACGGTAAGCGTTGAGGTCGCCTCCCTGACCCAAGCCTACTTCAAAATCTCTGAGCGCAGCCGCAGCTTCACAGATGAGCTCTTCGCTGTCGACTGGGCCGCAAAGACGAACACGTTTTGAAGAATCCTGGGAGAGCACGCACAAATTTGGATATGGTACCAGTTTCAGGATGTTTCAGCGTCGAATCTCCCAAGGTTTTGAGTTTCGATTGACGGGGGGTTGTTTCAAAAGGATTCAAATCGAGGTGGTGTCTTTGGCTTTTCAGCTCTTGGCAAAAGGAACGAAAGAAACCTGTGGGACCGGTCAAAAAAACGAGGTACGCATGCTCTTGAAGAGGTTGAAAATGCTGGACAATCAGACCAGGCTCAGTCATTACCAGCCACGATTACACCTCGCAGCTTTGGTTGGTTGCATTCATTTGCACAGGCGACGCGTCAGGGAATATCTTACACTGATGCAACTCGGTACTTTTCGTCCAGCATTTGCAACTTGCAGCCATCACACAATCAAATCATTTGTTGCTACCAAAGCTTTGGAGAGCATGCTGTTGTTTCCATGATTGAGGTTCGAAAGGCGCAGAATTATGGCAAAGGAGTCAAACCTCTTGCAACAGTGCTTTGGCGCCACCTAAATGAGTGTCAGTTGGCCTCCTTCGCAGCACCCAAATGTCAAAGCAGACGGGCTGATGTGGTTGCACCACCCAATGGACCAAGGTTGCCAGATGAGCTCAAGGAAGAGGCATGCAGCAAGCTGCAGCAAGCTTTTCAGATCACTGGGATTTGCCAAGCTAGCTACAAAGGGCATCGCTACTAGGAGCTTCTTGCTCCTAGTAGCTTCTTGTTACTAGTAGTAAGGCCAGGAGCCCCGATCGTAGCGTCCTTGCTCCTAGTAGCGATGCCAGGAGCCCCTAGTACTGTTTCAGTCGACTTCACCTATCTTCGCAGGTTGAGAGAGCCAAGCTACTACAGCATTTGCTTAGGCAGGGCCATTCTGCATGAGAGAGACGCTGCAACTCTGAGACGACTGGAGCATTTGAAGAAAAACACCATTGAAATCATTGAAATCACTTACTGTAAAGTATTCAGCTCCTTGTTACTACATAGTAGCTTCTTGTTCCTGGTAGGAGTGGCTTCCAACCTAGTAGCGATAGCCTCCAACCTAGTAGTGTCCTGGTTATCTCTATACGAATGGGATGAGAGCTCTTTAGGGACTAACCAGCTGAGGTGAGCACGTGTCATTCTTTGATCACTAATTCAGCAACATCCATGGGCCTTTGGATGCCTTTGGTGTGAAATCGGATTGTGACGGGAAGGCTTCCTGGCATGGATGAGCTCAACAAGCACCAGCTGGCGGAGATTTGCCACAAAGAGAATCACTGTGCTGCCTTGTACGTGATGTGCCCTGGGGATGTGGTGCCGTGACAGCAAAAGGTGAAGCTGCATTTCACAGACATGACATGTTGCATGCTCACAGACATGCTCGTTTTGCTGTCTTCCAATTGAAAAAAGGGGTAGGGTTGCAACGGTTGCACTGCCGCCCAGGCGTGCACAATGGGAGAGGCAAGGGGCAATGGTTGGGGCTGTCAAGTTGTCGAATGCTTTGGTAAGTTGCTTTGCACCTTCAACACAAACGGCGTCGACTTGATCCCAAGCTGCCTCCTCTCCAGCGTATCAAGATGTTTTTGTAACCAGTTGGACCAACGCCAACGCCTGAATTGCAAAGCTACAGTGACAAGTGATTAGACGACTTAGCCTGGGCAAAGCTTGCATGATCTTGCATGCGTGGGTGGGGAGGGTCTTGGCTGTAGGATTGTAGTTGTAGCAAAGCCCACTTAAGTTTCCTTCAAAATCTCAAAATCTAGGAACCAAATGAACAGCGTGAGCTATCCTGCGTCCAGCTACTACTGTAGTAGCTACTTAAGCTACTAGCTACCTCTAGCTACTACCTACCTCTAGCGGCCTACCTCCCTATTACTAAAATGTTTTAAACACTATATGAATTTCTAAAATTAACAAAAATATGGTTTCCCAGATGCGGATGTCAGGAAGCCGTGTGTGCCTGGGTCCTTTGTGCCGGACGACTTCAAGCCTTAGACTCTTTCGGCGAAGCTCCTCGGAGCAGAACCAAAAACGAAGCAAACAAAGAGGTAAAAAAGCATCAGATAAGAATAGAGAGTACTTATTAGTACTTACTCCACGAAGATTAGTTTGTGAGAGTACTTATTGCTTAAGCTAGTACTTGCTTACATTTCCTTACTAGTTCATGAGAGTACTTCAAGCGATTACCTTGCTTACCCTCGACGGACAATCTTCGGGCTGCATCAAGTCAAACGCAGTACGGGTTCATGCATGAACGGCAGGACTCATGGACGGCTCTTTACAGCGTCCCGTGATTGATCGCCAGGTGATGATTCTGGGCGAGGAGTCTCTCGATGCCATCGATGAGGATTGCCTCTGGACTGACCAGCCCATGGAGCATCCGGGCCGCAGCCAGGGTCTGTCGGACTGTGTCGCTCCCGTTTGGGTTGGCTGAGCTGGATCATGAATCCACATGAATTCTTTGGATGTGAATTTGTGAACCTCCGGACTCATGCATGCGTTTCAAACAGGACGAGGGTGCTTGTTTGGTAGAAAGTGTACTATGTCACTATGTGTACTCTCAATTTTGATTTTCTCGGTTTTGCTACCCTCTCGATGTTGGAGCATGTTTTGGCTATCTTCGTGTCGCGAGATACGGGCTTGATGCAAAAGTTGCGCAGCTCAGCCGGCCAAGGTCGCTCTTCACGGTCACAGCGTATACCGCTTGCGAGATGCTCAAGATCAATAGGGACTGCGGTGGCTTTATGTGAACCGTTCAGATGTGTCAAAAAGAGCCGGAGGTGTTACCTGTTGGGTTGCCAGTCTGTGGATGTTCACTACAGTCCACTATATATTAAAAGCAGGTACTTTCGCAGCTCAAAAAGTTCACAACATGCACTTTTGCACTTGTAGTTGTGCATTGTTTTTGTACCAGTATTTAGTTTCAGCATGTTTCAGCATTGGTCTATTGCCTTGTTACTTAAATGAAAAGGTGTCCGCAGACTTGTCAATTGTCTTTGTCCCGACAACTGGGTTCATCATGGTCGTGGGAAGCTGTTAAGACTTGAATCGCTAGTTTTGAGTTCCACAATGTGCCGAGCATGGGGGTCTGGCTGGACAAGTTGTGCAGGACAAGTTCATCAGCATTGCATCCCAGCAGGAGGAGGTCGACAACAGGGTCCACATCACAAGTCTTTGGATAAGCTGGAACAAGCTGAACGGGAACATTTTGTTGGGACAAATTAAGACACAGCGCAGCCTGGCTTTGTTGCACCCATAGCTGTAGCTTTCACTAAATAGGAGAAACATGGAGGAAACACGGTTTGAAACACATGCATGCACCTCTTGCTAATGGGATCAACATGGCGAACGTGCACAGGTCTGGAGATGCCAATCAAGCAAGAGAAACGCTCCAATGGCACAAAAGGCCTTGCCAAATCAACCTATGGCTTCTAGGCTGCATCCTGGACATGTTACATATGACGCAGAAGCCTTCTCCCTACCTTTTCTCATGTCATCATTTATGGCGGAAATGCAAACCTCATCCAACAGTTGTGATGCATTATTGAGTTGCGCACAGATACACACATTGTCATCCCATCACAATCACATGGGGCAATTTGCCTCGTCCTTGCTAAGAACACAACAGTCTCGGCTGCAGCTACCGTGTCCTCCATCTCGGCTGGCTGAAATGGTGCTGGCAGCAGGAGACAGAATCACTGTCACATGGGGACCCAGAAGGGCTTTTTGCCACCTGCACGCATTTGCAGAAGCATGTACCAACAACAGCATAATTATGCCGTTTGCTATCAAGCTCCAGATGGGTGGACGGTTCCCTCCGCAAAAAGAGAACAGAGATGCTGCAATTTGCCAGGACACCTGCACTGGATGGCATATTTTTGAGGTACTTGGCCTGTCGGGCCTGTGAAGGAAGAGGTGATTTGGCCCTGCCTCGCTGCTGGTACTCAAACGATTTGGCCACTCTAGTGTCACGTTCATACCGCGCTGACATACCTATTTCACAGTGAATTCACATCAACATGAGGCATGGCCAAACGCTCATAGATTTTCCACCGTCCATGGATGGGGCTTAATTGAAGCTTTTCGGCACCGTCTCTGCCTGGTTTCCTTTCAATTTCAGGGCCTGGCTTTCGCAGCAGCTGCGAAGCAGCCAGGAGTTCGTCCCAACTGGGCGAAGAAGGGAGTCCCAAGAGTTCAAGGGCTTCGAATGAAACCGCCCTTTGGTGTTTCACAGCCAGTTTGGAAGCAGGTGAGAAGTAGACCGAAGGGAGGCATGGACTTGGCCAGCAACGGAAGCAATACTGGTCTTCAAGCCTTCAAGTGCCGTTCCGCTTGGCTTTGTTTTGGAAGCCGATTGCGACTCATCTGCTACCAATCTGAACCCAGACCATTTGCGGCTGCTCAGAGCGAAAATGAACCCAACCAAACACTTGACGAGAAAATGGGTGTTATAGGTCCAAGCTCCCTTCCCCCCAAAAAAACTAAACCCTGGCAGGTTGAATTTGTGGGTAGTTTGCTTGTTCATCGTGTGGGGTCAGCAAGGGTCCAGGCTTTTGGGCCCAGAGCCACAAAAGCGAAGCACGCCGCTTCAATGGCATGCGGCAAACGCTGTGTGTTAAGTTATGCTGTGCTTTTGTGGCTGCAGATGCCGTCACTATTCTGCATTTTTATTGTATGATCTTGTAAGACTCCAGAGGCCCACATGCGATATTGGGAGAAGATGCCAGACGCGCCGGCCTCGTTTTGGGATGGCTATGCCAACAGCAAACAGTGCAAAAGGTGTGTAATTTTATGATGCCTTATAGGTTTGCATTAGCATATTGTTTGGACTGGGACTCATTGCTTGCTTTTCTGTATGCCATCGCTAAGTCGCTAAGAGTTATCCTGTTATCCTTGCACTTCAGGAAGTGACTTACTCCTCAGCCATCAGTGCATGTGAGCGATCCCTCCAATGGATGTGGGGTACTTGAAGACTGCATTGCAATATGTGGAAGACATCGATTCAAGTTCCTCAGCTAAGGCATGCGCTGGCACTGCTCGACATGATGAGGTTGGCATATCCCACATTTTCTTGGCACTGAGGGCTGGTGGCAAGCTAGGGATATGCCGAATGATGGCAAATGCTCATGTAACTGCTTGTTCATTCCATGTTCATTACCAAGGCCAGGGTTCGTTAGGCAGATCGGTGCACAATGATCACAATGTTAGCAACATGTTTGGTAAACGGGGGGTTTGCCCGGACTGCAACATGCGGAGGGCCAGAAACCAATGCGTTTTACAGGGTATTTTGTGTTTCGGGACACTCAACTTATCGTCTTGGAGTTCACTAACTCCAAGACGGTAACTTGAGTGCATTTTACGACCGTCCAAAGACCAGTCAGTCCCATGCGCCACGACATCAGTCCTCTTCCCAATTGAGCCATGACAGCTCACTGTACATTGGAGCTGGCGGACAACTGTCTTGCACGGCCTCTCTGTGTATTTTCACATCCTGTAGCATTGAGTCCAACCCTGGATGTTGTCCGAACATGTCTGAACCACAATGCTGCGAGGCCTTCAACGTGCTCTCGTTGCAGCTTCGCATCGCAACACCCAAAAGCGCAACGCGAAGATCAAATGAACCGCGAATGCAACGTCACGACGCCGGTAAAGAAACGTGAAGTTCGGATAAGTTCGGCATGCGCAGCTAGTAACACGAACGAAACTGTCCCCAGCCCCCCCCCAACCTCCCCCCTCACCCCCCTTGACCCAACATGTTGCACATGTGTTTGCCTCTTCAGCGCGTTTCACACAGATCACATGGTGCAGGCACAGCTACGAACGGCTCTGATCCATATGAAACCATCAAATCTGGGCTTATCCTGGCCACTCAGGTGCCAGGCGCTTCCCCCCAACCTCCTGTGCAGGGGAACTGAGGGCGTTTGTCATGACCCGTGCGGGTCACATGTGTTTGGCCATATTTTGCCGAGGCTATGGTGCGGCGGTGGGCGCAGGTGATTGGAGGTTTGCCTTCCAACTATTGGAGGCGATCAAGACAGAGCGGCCCGGCACCCATGGCGTTGGGGTTCCAGACAGGCGTGAGCACGCCTTGCGTGGCATTCTTATGGCAGAATTTTCGCCGCGGGTACCTGGTGGTGATGGTTGTGACCCGCAGCCAGGTCATTTTGATGTTGAGCTTGGCCGGGAATAGGTACAATCTCGAGCAATTCAACTTTGCATACAACACTGCCGACTGGCCCAAGCTGGTAGATTGATATAAATGGCCCGTTCGCACCAAAATGTGGCTCAACTTCCTCAGCCTTGCCCACTTAGGCACTCAGCTACGTAATTGTAGCGGTTCCGGCCAGCGCAAGCCAAAAGCCTCATCAGGGTCATTGTATTGATTGTCTTGCTCTGCAAGATTGCTGCATAGGAGGTCATGGGAGCAAAAAAAAATGAAAGTCACCCTAAATCAACGAATCTCAGCACAATTCTTCGCAACCGTTTGCGCTCTTTCTATCACTGCAATGAGCTGAATGCAACATGCATTCTGACGCCATGGATTTGACCCTGAATCCTTCGGTGCCAGGCAGCTTGGGTTTCATAGTGAACAAACTGCCTTGGTCTGCTTGAGAGAGACGGATTGTTCAAGTGTTGACAACCGAGAACTTTGTGATGCTTGGAACTTATACTGTAGATTGTAGATTATCATGAATATTTTGCACACATACATGCACACATACCATTACATTACATACTGTTATATATATTGCATTACGTTAGTTTCATTAATATTCATTAGGTAGACAGATAGGTAGATAGATAGATAGCGAGGCTGCCTGCCTGCAGCCATGTAAATGCAATTGATTCGAGAAATGATTCTCGGCCTCGCCTCCCACTTCTCTCAGATTTGCCAGAGCAATTGTTCGAGTAATTGAACTAGACTCTTTCAGACTGGAGGTCTAAGTGCTTTTACGAGACTTGCCAGACTTGTCAGACTTGGACCCGTTACGCTTCTGCGGACGCCCCCTTATAGATCTCACAGATACCAAAGTTGTCCAGCATGTAGACCCACCCAAAAGCTCTCCGGATGTGTCGCCCTTCTTCCTATTTTCTGGTCGCTGCATTGACGATGGCTAATCCTTGATGTTTTGCATCCATGGGTGGCACCGAAACAGTACAGTCAATCAGAGCTTCCAAACTGTTCAAACCAGGTCCTGATTGATTATCATTTAAGTCACCTGCCAAATCAGGGTCTTAGACCGACTTGGGGCCAGGCCAGGGTGATCATAGCTGGTCCGAAGTTGTCTTCGCCCAGGTTCCATGCCGGAGCCCGGGACTGGGGATGGAGAGGAGATCAGCAGGCTGGATGGTTTCGGTTCCACACGGCAGCCACGAGCACCCTGTTCTGGCAGGCCAGGCACAGCCATGTCCATCTCAGCTCCTTGACTGCCAAGAGTCGTATTTTTTTTACTTGGGCAAGGCTGGGAGGTTTTGAACGGGTTGCATTTCGGCAACTTTTCTCTCCACTAAGTAGGTTCGGTGTACCTTGGAGCGCCTGACTGTCTCAAGGAACAAGCTGGCATGGGTGAAGACTCTTGCTTGCAGAGGGAGATTGGATGACGTCGTTTTGTTCAAGATGGATGACCATTGATTGTTTGGCTGGTTGAGCCTTGTGTCTCGGTGCTTGATGGTGCTGATGTCGAACTGCTCCCCGTCAGGACACCATGGTGTCCTTCATCCGGTCCTGCATGACCAGCATTCTCCGGCCCTTCGGAGAAACAGTGGACGAGCTGCAGAGGCGGAGCGCCGAGCCGGAGACGACGGTCGTTCGACGTTGTGTGACGTGCTCGCAGTCCTGCCAGGTACGTCGCAACGCTGTCAGAGAGTGTGAGTGCCTTGCTCACATGAGTTGATGGATTTTATTGATGTTATTGCATGTTATTGCTTTATTTTTGTGTGGCACATCGCGCCATTCCATGCCATTCCATGCCGTTTTTTCTACATATGTCATTTTACCCAAATGCAAGGGTCTTGGGCCCCCAATATTTCAAAACACAAAAGAGCACAGAAGAATGTCGGGGTGTCGGGGGCCAGGCAGGGGCCAGAGGCCAACATCAAGGGCTTTGGCCGCTTCGATGCCATGCTTTGACTGAGGCTCTGTGGCCAATGATACTGAGTCCCATGCTGCGACGCTGGCTCAACAGGCTGCCCTCATCAGCGATTTGCGGAAGGATCTGGATCGCACTGCAAATGAGGCGCAAAGGACACCAGGTGTGCAATGGTGAAATGCATTGAAATTCAATGAAGCTCCCGTGCCACATTGCATGAGCTGTCGCATGCGAAGCGGCAGGTCTTGCAAACACAGAGCCTCCTGGATGTTAGCATCAAGGAGAAAGCCTCCTTGGAGAACAGACTCGAGGACATTTGTCCCAGAGTGGGCCAGTTACTTGTCCAAAGCCAGGGATGTCGGTCGGTGTCGTCAGTGTTTAGGCTGAACCCCCACTATGACACAAAGACCTCTTCCAAGCTTTTTGAAATTATCCTTAACGCTGGTCACAGCGTGTTGCAGACAAGCTCGATATGTTCTTGCTCAAAAAAACAGGTCTCACCAGGCGCGGGTCCTTTCCCGAAGACATTTCGCCAACCAGGGTGGTTGCTGACAATCAGCAGTTCCATTGGTGCATGTGGCACATTTCGCCGAGGCTGGAGGAGCAGGCCGCTGCGGTGAGTGATGCTGTGAAGGACATGGGAATTCGGAATACATGCGAATGCCTTTGGCTGCTGGATTTCAGCGCCTTTGTAGCTCTTATCATGGCCTCTCATCAGTGCCCTACTGGTAATTACCCATAGACTACGGTGGATTGAGACGTCATTTTGCTGCACACAAATTGGATTCCTGTTCCTACTTTGGCCGATGCAGTTTTGCTTTGTGAGTCTGATGATCAGAGTTGCAGCAGCTTCCAGGAACTGCAGCCTCGCGTAAAAGAGACTCGCTTGAAGCTCGCAAGGCATGGACACGGGATGACACGGGCTTCCAGCGGCATACAGGACTTTTCTGGTAGGCACACATCAAAAGAGCTCCAAACACCTATATACATATAATATATAAATACTAATTACTTGACGTTTCAATTTTCATGAGCTTTTGCGCGTGTTGGAGTTTTTGCCTTTCCTCCACACTCTTGACAGACAAACCCCTCTGGGTAGCACCTGTCCTGTTGCGACTTGGGGCTTCAGAACAGCAGGTAAGCTGCACGGAATATTGCGCGACAGACTAGAGCCAATCACCCGTCATCAATCCTGTTAAGGCCCATTGTCCCAATTATTTGTGCAATTGGCATGCTGGCGCACACAGACACGGTGTTGGTGTTTGCTTTTGGGGTAGGGTTACCAATCATTCATCACGGCCTCCGTTGGTGCATGCAGCAGTGCAGCAGAAGACATCGCATGTATTAAAAAATTATCATATATGATCATATTATATCACATTATCATGTATTGCAATATATTGTAGTTATACAATTCTATATGCACACATGCATGTATAATATATTAGGGCCTTTTGTATGCCTATGTCACAAAAGGGGTCCAACCGGAAAATCAATCTTGGATGTTCTTTCTGTGAAGGACTTGTCGGACAAGGCTTGGTTCTTCCTTGCCTCGTGCCAGGTGTGAGGAGTCCAAGTTCGAGACCGATCGAGATATCGCACACCTCCGCCGCTTGGCCGACCGAATTCGGCGACCGGATGGATGGCATGGCCCGGTTAAAGCCGTGTAGCTTGGACCAGCGAGACGGCTTGGCGAACCTGGCACTCAGAAAGTTCTCTGTGCTGAGGTGCACCCTGTGAAACAGCCCACAAGATCCCACAAGCATTAGATAATTTTGGCTGTATGACAATGCTAACTTCAACATACAGTGACAGATAGTGACAGCACAAAAGCAATCGCGACTAAAAAAGCCTGACAATTCTGAATCTGTCGTTTTTGTACTGTGCACCAATCCACTGCTGGTCGTTTCGGTTTGTCACAACTGGCCCTGACATAACACCAAGCAAACGCTCACCATCAGGCTGAGCATACACAGCTGCCAGGGCCGATGCAGCTTCTCCCTGGAACGCCGATCCATTGCGCAGGTGATCCCCTGCTGCTACTGCGTCCATTGGCCTCTTCTACAGAGCACGAGCACGGACTCCGAACGCTTGCTTCCAGACCAGCTCCACCAATGAGGCACCAAGAAACGGCAAATGTGTCCTTTGGGCTCGCCAAAATGCAGGCAGTCCTGCAAGGAGATTACAACCGCTCCATTTCCTTTCAGCACCACATCCTGGAAACCTATGCAAACTATTGCAAACTCAAAGTCTGAAGGTGGTGAAGAAGCTACTAGGGGCTTTGGCCTCACTGCTAGGAGCAAGGACGCTACTAGGGGCTCCTGGCCTTACTACATGGGACTACTACTGGGACAAGAAGCTACTAGGGTTCAATTCTGCTCCTTCGTCTCGGGCCTCTAGGAGCCATCGACCCCTGACGGAAGCTCAAACATCCAGTCTGCTCCCTGCCAGTCTGTAAGGCACCAAAGTGACCTGCACATACCCGAACTACTTGCACCAGCACACCACACAGTGTCACATAGTGTCACTGCCCCGCCTGGCACTGCCTCTAGCCGAAAATCTGGAAGAGCGTCCAATGTCCTTAACCATCCATTTTCAACATTTTTCAACCCATTGCAGCCCAGAGGGCGTCCACAACCAGCAACAATCGGGCATTTGCTTAGATCTCCTTAGCACGATCATCAGAAATCTTGGACAAACTTCGCCCGCCTGCATCTCGAAGGCACTGAAGCATGCGATCCACTCCTAATGCACCTTTTTTGGCCTCAAACCTAGCCCTCCATACTCGCTCATGCGGACAGTATGGAGGGTTTCGCTTCTTGTTACCAAGAGACCACACCTTTTTCAACGCAGTTCCAAAAGACTTCAAGAAACTATTCCTCCTACTGTCGTCAATGTTTTGGCACTCCTTTCGAGAAATCATCACAGAACAACGAACTAAGCCTGGGATCC